AAAAACAAAAAAAAAAAAAAAAAAAGAAATTCTCCAGGCACAGAAAAGCAAGCAGTGAATGAGCTCATTCCTATGCGGTTCATCTCATTTACACCGAGAGCAAAATGGTGGTTATCAGGGGCTGCAGGTGAAGGGAGATGGGTAAAGGCCAATGGGCCAGGTAGGGAGGAGAAACAGGTTCCGGAGTTCTACTGTGTAGTGTGACTATGGGTAGCAATAATCACCACACAGCCCCAAAAGGTCAGAAGGGAAAATTAGGAACATTTTTACCTCAAGGAAACCCTGACTTGAATATTAAACGTGTAGTCAAACATCAAATGGTGCCCCACAAATACATCAGGATTTAAAAAGTTAAAAAATATGTAAGACATGGTGACACATGCCTTTACTCCAACACTTGGAGATGAAGGGTGGGCCCTGTCTTTACCTTTTTTATACGTTCAATGCACAACAATTTACCTTTAAAAATGAGAAAAATAAGCCTGGTGTGGGGGTGCATGTGTTTAGCCCCAGAACGCAGGGGGCTCGGCAGGACAATATGAGTCTGAGACCAGTCAATGGCTACACAGGGAGACAAAATAAAATGTTTTTAAATAAAAGAAACAGGTTGAGCAGATCATTTAAGCAGTTTAGAGCACTTGTTGCTCTTGCAGAGAATCTGGGTTCCATTCCCAACACCCACAGGCTGCTCACAACCACAAGAACTCCAGCTTGGAGATCCAACACCCTCTTCTGGTCTCTTCAGGCATAAGGCATTCATGTGGTGGAGAGAGACATATGTGTAAGCAAAACACCCATACACATAAATTAACAGCAATAATGAAAAAAATAAAGCAAGAAATAGAGAAACACAACAAAGCCTTCCGCCAGGTCTGTGGGCTTGTTTAAATTCCCTGTTCACCTCGTGCACTTCCTCATGCTGGGAGACTACACTGAGGCGGACCTCAGAAGTCCAAATCACGTGACCTCTCTAACCCTCCATTCTTCACCCGTAAAAGGATGCGACCATGGAAACAGGGTCTCTCATTCTGTAGCCCAAGCTTGCCTAGAACTTGAGGCAGCTCCTGCTTCAGTCCCCCTGAGTGCTGCAATTATGGGATGTGAGTCACCATGCCTGGTTTCCACGGGGACTGTTACAGGGACTAAATGAAACAATACATGGACTGCATCCGGTACACTGTACGTCCTCAAGCAATTCTGTTTGGTATATGTGGATATGTTTCTACTCTGGAGACAATGTCAGAACTCTAGACCCCTGATGAGGAAACCGAAAACCAGAGACTGCCACCACAAGACCAATGTCTCTAAAGTTGCCCATTTCCCGCACTCTTACCACCCGCTTTCCACCGGTCCCGCTGACCTGTAAGTTCCTGGATGGTGACCCGGTCCAGGATCTTGAAGCTCGTGTCCAGTTTCAGAGGCTGGCTGCAGCGCTGGCACACGAAGCTCACCTGCATCGTGCTGCCGGACGCCTTCGACCCCTCCATGCCTGCAGCAGCCAAGAGGAAACGCGTTAAGAAGAACCGGCGCCCTTGAACCTCGAGCCCGAGACTACCCTCTGCCCTGGTGGTGGAGGTGAAGAGGAAAATCCCGGTCCGCGCCTTTCCCTCTGGGAGTGGGATGACACCAACGGAACCGGCTTCCGGGGCAGAGCCAGCCTAAAGCAGTAGGGACTCCCGGGCGGGGAAAGGGGCCATTAAAGTGGCTGTCAGGGTTCCCAGGCTTCTTTCTAAGTTTTCATTTCAGGCCCCGACGCTCTTCACCTCAAGACCACAGAGCCCGCCGCCCAGGTTCGTTCTACCGCGGGGGCACGGTGGCCTCGGGTCCGCCCCAGAGCGAGACCTCCAGAGTTCCCATCGCCCGGTCTTCAGCTACTTCCCGGTCGGCTAGCTGAAGACTTCCGCCCGGGACCAGACGTGACGTCTTGACGGCTGCTGACGCAAGGACCCCTGGTCCAGATCCCTGCTTACCCGGCTCGGGGCGCCATCTAGAGGCTGAAAGGGGAAGCGCAGCCTGTGCCGGCAGGTGTGCTAAAGATACCCATGCTCGCTTCTGATTGAGAAGGTCCTAGAGATTTAGACGTGTTACTTCCGAGTGGAGCCACTTTCATTACTCCCCTGGTGTCAGTTTTGAAAGTGTCTTTTTGGGAGATTCAAGCTATCTTTCAAGCCCCTCTGAGGGAGTGCGTTTGGCGGGCTGGTAAATTTTATTGTTTGTGTGTGTATGTATGTATGTATGTATGTATGTATGTATGTATACAATAAAATGAACATGTAAATTAAAAAGGTGATAGTGGTAAAGGATTGGGCATCCTATTTTTGGAGATCATACAAGTTTTTTTTTTTTTTAATTTTGTTTTGTTTTTCGAGACAGGGTTTCTCTGTGTAACAGCCCTTGCTGTCTGGAACCAGCTCTGTAGACCAGGCTGGCTTCGAACTCATAAGATCGGCCTGCTTCTGCCTCTCGAGTGTTGGCATGAAAGGCGTGTGCCACCACCGCCCGGCTAAATAATTATTAATTAGGAAATATTCAGCACTTCCAGATTTGGGTAAATCTTATAAAATTATAAAGCTAAATCATTTGGGGGAACTGAGATGTGGCTCCCTGGTAAAGCCAAACAGACCCTCCCATCCAACAGAGACAGATATAGTCACGTTTTTGTGTTGGTGCAGTAATAAATGGGTCAATGAACCAGAACAAAGTTGAAAAATACACTAAGGATACAGACACATTTAGTATGGGATAAAAATGGTCTTTCATCCCATCCCAGCACTTGGCGAGCAGAGGCAGGTGGGTCTCTGGGAGCTCAAGGCCAGCCTGGCCCTCAAAGTGAGTTCAAGGACAGCCAGGGCTCTGGAGAGAAACTGGTCTAAAAAAAAAAAATCAATGGTGAGGAACTGCAGGTGTGAAGGGAGACCAGAAGAGGGTGTGGCTCCCCAGGAGCTGGGGTTACAGGAATTGAGAGCTGCCTTGTACTGGGAAGACAACACAGATGGTTTTCTCTGGAAAACCACTGTGCCCTTTTAGTCACTGAGACAAGTCTCAGCTCCTTTTTCTTTTAAAAAAATATTTTAAAAAAGAATGGGATTGTTTAAATAAATTGTAGGATAACTTATTCAATTGAAACTATGTAACTATTAAAGAGAATGAAATAAACGCCTAGGTGTGAAAATTTATTCACTCAACAAAGTTATTGAGGACTTGCCATGTGCTCAGGAGTATCTGAGGCATTGAAGATTTAGCAGCAACAAAAAGACAGCTATTAATGCCTCCAGAGCTTTATTCTAGTGAGAAAGAAAGACAGTAAAGGTAAGTAAATGTTTAGTATTTTAATTTTTAAACACCAAGGACAGATTACCAAGAGATATATGCTGTCCTTGCTGAGAGCTTCTTATTTATTTATTTATTTATTTATTTATTTATTTAGGTTTTTGAGACAGGGTTTCTCTGTGGCTTTGGAGCCTGTCTTGGAACTAGCTCTTGAACTCAAAGACCCGCCAGCCTCTGCCTGGCAAGTGCTGGGATTAAAGACCTGTGCCACCACCGCCTGACTAAGAGCTTCTAAGTGCTTGTCTGGTCAAAATAAGTCTTTCAAACTCAAAAAGAAAGTTGGGGAGTGGTGGTGCACGCCTTCGGTTCCAACACTTGGGAGGCAGAAGCAGATGGATTTCTGTGAGTTCAAGGCCAGCCTGGTCTACAGTTCCAGGAGGGCCAAGGCTACCCACAGAGAAACTCAGACTTGAAAAACTGAAAACAAACAAATGATTAGACCCTTGGAAAGGACCAAGTTATTCTGATTTCCAGAAGTGCTTTTCTTTTATTTCAAAAGGGTGTGGCCCTCCTGTGATTGGTTCTGGATAAGTGGAATTCCTTGATTTTCTCCTCCTAACTAGAGACGTCTTCACACACCTTTTTCTTTTCAAGTCCTTCCGCATAAGACCCTACTCCCTCTAGAGATGGAATCATACCCAAAGAATTCCCGCTTAGGCCTGGTGTGGCTGTTTAAAGTCTTTTATGTCTTCCTGCTTGGCTGCCATCAGAAAGCATAGAAAATTAGCCAGCTTCTAGAGAGGTAAGGGCTCAAGCAGTTGTACAGCCACACCACAGGGCCTCAAAATTGCTTGTTTCTGTACACCAACCCTGGGGCCTGGAACAACTTCTCTGTGCCTTGTTTTGAAATCTCACTTGTTAAATAAGATATTATACAATAGTCTACAACTCACAGAGCATTGTAGGGATAAAAATAGTTGATAGAGGTGAAAACCAGGAGCAGCAAGACCTGGCACATAGAAAATGCCCAGTGTTCTGCTGGGAAAGTCTTTGATAGCCATTATATCCCATGAGAATAAATATTCCCTATATTGATGGAAAGACCTACTATGTGCCCATCACTACTCTACATCTGGGAGGACACAGGAGTAAGCTGCTCTAATGGAAATTAGACAAACAGACATGTAAACAAGATCATTTTGGACAATGGTAGGTGTAATGGGTTGGATGTTTTCTGCCCAGAAGACAGTGAATATAGTTTGGAAATCATATCTTTTTTTAAAATATGTATTTATTTATTTTTATTTTTTTAATATTTATTTATTTATTATGGATACAATATTCTGTTTGCATATATGCCTGCTAGAAGAGGACAGCAGACCTCATTACAGATGGTTGTGAGCCACCATGTGGTTGCTGGGAATTAAACTCAGGACCTTTGGTAGATCAGGCAATGCTCTTAACCTCTGAGCCATCTCTCCAGCCCCAAATCATATCTTTTCTGTGGACTGAGTTTTGGCGAATGCAGCAGGTAGATCCCTGTGGTGGTTGAATAAGAATGGCCCTCAGAGGCGGTGGTGGTGCTCACCTTTAATTTCAGCATTTGGGAGGCAGAGGCCTGTGACTCTCTGAGTTCAAGGCCAACCTGGTCTACAAGAGCTAGTTCCAGGGTAGTTAGTAGAGCTGTTATACAGAGAAACACTGTCTCAGAAAAACAACAACAAGAAAACACTGCTCTGGATGTAACAAAGGCCTCAGTAGCTTAAAAAAATCCAGGAGAGGGCTGGAGAGATGGCTCAGTGGTTAAGAGCATTGCCTGCTCTTCCAAAGGTCCTGAGTTCAATTCCCAGCAACCACATGGTGGCTCACAACCATCTGTAATGAGGTCTGGTGCCCTCTTCTGGCTTTCAGGAATACACACAGACAGAACATTGTATACATAATAAATAAATAAATAAATAAATAAATAAATAAATAAATAAATAAATAAAAAATTCAGAAGAGGCCAGAAAATAAGTATTTTGGCAAACTGCTATAAATGATCAGAGATCAAATAAATGGCGTTGAAATTGAAGGTTTAGTTGGCATAGGAGTAGATATAACAATTTCACCCAAAACTTGGTATCCAGATTGGCCTCTTCAGCAGGTAAATATTTAACTTCTAGGGATTGGAACTTTATCTTAGGTAAAACTGCTGTGGGATAATCCTTTTGTACACTGTAAAGATTTGTCACTCCTATTAGTTTAATAAAGCAGTAGCCAGGCAGGAAGTATAGGTGGGGCAACCAGACTAAAAGAATTCTGGGAAGAGAAAAGGCAGAGAGTCAGTCACCAGTCAGGCACAGAGGAAGCAAGATGATATGCCTTTCTGAGAAAAGGTACCAAGCCACGTGACTAACATAGATAGGATCTATAGGTTAATTTAAGTTGTAAGAGCTAGTTAAAAATAAGCCTGAGCTAATAGGCCAACCAGTTTATACTTTATATCAGCCTCAGTGTGTTTCTTTGGGGCTGAATGGCTGTGGGACTGGGTGGAACAGAGAAACTTCCATCTAGATAAAACAAAGTGTGAGATGGGTTGAGTTTATAGAGCCAGAGGAACAAAAGGAAAATTAAAGCTGTATGTGGCTCATATAGTCATGAATTTATGGGAATGTGATTTCCTGCACCAATGGAAAACACAGATTAACATTCCTCCAATCTCAGAAACAAACCATAAAATAAAGAATGCTTCTGAGAAAAATAGTAAAAGGTATTATCAAGAATAGTCACAGAACTGGCCAGTGGTGGCATGTGCCTTTCATCTCAGCACCCGGGAGGCAGAGGGAGACGGGTCTCGGTGAGTTCGAGGCCAGCCTGGTCTACAGAGCTAGTTCCAGGACAGACTTCAAAGCTACAGAGAAACCCTGTCAAAAAAAAAAAAAAAAAAAAACAGCCCCAGACTGTTCAGGTTGTTAAGTAAACAGGACACAACAGCCGTTGCTGCTGTCCTTTCAAGGTTCCCAACTGCCCCACCTTTAAAATGATTAACTGCTGTGGGCAGAACCCTGGCCTTTGACATCAGAAAAATTATAGGCACTAGAACAGCTGGAACTGGAGCAGCTAAATGCTCAACATACTGAAGAACTGACCAGTCCTTGGGTTTCTTCTATTTTTGCCATTAAAAAGAAATCTGGAAAATGGAGAATGTTAACAGATTTGAGAGCCATAAATAAGATGATTCAGTCAATGGATTCTTTACAGTCTGGAATTCCCTTGCCTTCTTTATTACCTGTTATAGTGATTGATTTAAAAGACTGCTTTTTTTTTTTTTACTATACCTTTAAAAGAATAGAGTAAACTCAGAGATTCTTAGTCCTAAAACTGCCACATACAACCAAGCTGGTCACAGTGGAAAGCTCGACAGAAATAGCTCCATTATTGTAAATAGTTAAAACCTTTCCTTCCTACTTAGATAAGAGGAGGGAGGTCAGTTGGCTAAACCGCCACCACCAGACTCCTTCTAGCTGACGTCTCCACCGCCAGCATCCCCACAGCCACTATGGCTCAGTACAAGGGCGCCTCAAGCGAAGGGCACAGCAAGGGCAACAGGCCACACCATGCACCTGAGGAAGAAAAGGGAGAGAAACGGCGTGGGCAAGTAGAGCAGACG